GAGAGAGAGAGAGAGCTCAAGGTGTAGAGAATGAGAGGAGTCCCCTAATTTATAGACTATTTCTAAGGTTAAGGTTTTTTAGGATTAGCCACCCTTACGGAGATTAGATCCAGACCATTGATCATAAGAGACTTGTGGGGTGAGAGATCTGAGCTATACAATCCTTAGATCAACCGTCATGATTCAAAAGAAGGTGCTAGAACCTTATCCTTCAGCTTCCTTAGTCTAATCCCATCAAATAAATAAAATATGAAAAATATATAATCCTTTCCTATCTCTTCCATAATTATCTTACACATGATTAAATTTGAAAAAAAAAAACATAGACTTCTAAAAATCCAAACTATCAATCTAAAATTCAAACTTTCAATCTAAAATCATTTAACATTAAGATAATTAATTTTCAATAATCTTGATGGGATTCAGATCCAACTAGGTCAAGGAATTATTAATTTGCTGAAGCACTCCATCTTCTACTGTGGACAATAATCCACATTCAATTTCTCAATCTGACCCAGCAGTTCCAATGATCTACAGACCATTGCAGGGTTCATGATTGGGCTACAAAAGTCAGCTAATAAGTGAGGGGACACAATCCCTGTCTATAGATTACATGTTCTCCCCTGGGGACAAGTCCAAGATCACACAGACTTGGTGCAACTACATCTCTATGGTGCATAGGGTCCTCTCTCGCACATGTACACGTATTACCCTTAATGGTGACTCTCTTTAGCTATACAGTTATCATATGTACATGCAGTATGATGGTTCAATGATGAGGCTTTGACCCTCGTCTCTATAGGCCTACCATTGCACATAAGGGTCACATAATCCCTTAGCTCACTACTCTGGGCAACTCCAACGTCATCAAGGTATACCTTGCTAGCCCTCCCCAATTGTGCTTTATGCTCAGGTAATTAAGGGTTTTCCAACTCGATTAGCCTATCACGTTAAGCCTAGTCTGAGTATCGATAAATAACATTTGCTATCTCGGTCCCTCTGGACCATACTCCCATTGGAGTTCATTGTTCCACTATATCAAATATTAATTATAAGCTCTTATAAGGCCTTTATTGGCGACAAATACTCAATATTACATACAGTGTAACTTAGGGTGGGCAACGTGCTAATCCCATGAATAGGCCACCAAAAGTGAGAGACCCATTTGGATAGATCTGCTTCTCATATCTTTGGTGTCAAGGCATTCTGTGTATGTCCTTAAAGAGTCCTTGAATCTCTACATTCATACTACCTCTGAGTACAGCCTTTTTTATTTTTAATTTTTAATTTTGTGACAATATTTGATGCATGGAGAAAATAAACAATAAAACTAACAAAGATAAAAATAAATTGAGAGAATATACCCTCGCTTAGGTTCTTCAATTGATTCCACCTCAAGGATCTCTTCACAAGATCAAACAATTCCTTTCTTCTCATAAACAACCAAGTTCACAATGAGGACGTTCTTCCCCTTAAATACAAATTACCAGCAAATAATACAAATAAAATAAAAAGATCCACAAAAGAAACTCTCTCCCCCCTCCCCCCCGCATTTTTCTCTCTATCTCCCTCTCTTGATCTCACATAAATCTCTACCTTATCTCACGTTTATACCAAGCCTAACATATCCTAGCCAACCAACCATCCTAATACAATCTTTCGTCCTTAAAATATAAAAATAAACTTTCAATTGTACCCTCAAATCTCTACAACGGAAACGGATAAAAATAACCCTATAAGAATATTAGAAACCAAGAATAACCGAAAACTGAATTTCAATCTTCTAAAAAAATAAAATAGAAATAATAAAAATCCAGTTTGCATCATTCTCCTTGGGTCAGGAGAAGCTCAACCTCAAGCTTGAAAATTTAAGCTATCCTCTAATAGTCTTTCCAAAAATTGGTGATGCAGTCCAATTATTTGTCTGCAAGCCTTTTCTTCTTAATAAAACAATTGATTCTTCTTAATAAAACAATTGATTCTTCTTAATAAAACAATTGATTTGACACTTGATATCCAACTTGTAAAGGGTGGTAGTTCATGTGTAATTAGAGTATCTTCTGCATAATTGGTTACACTGTTTCAAGAAGAGGACCGCCTAGTGCCTGGGAGGCCCGCCTAGGCAGATATCCCTGGGCGCCCACCTAAACCCGTCTAGTTGGCCGCCCAGGGCCAGCGCCTCACCCAGGGGCGGAATAGCGGCTCCTTGAAGGTATTTTTGGGTCATTTTTTTAATATTAAAGGTTCAAATTTGTGGGTTTTATGTTCATTTGAAACCTAAAACCCATTAGAGGCTATTTTAGAGAGAGAAAACCCAAAAAAAAAAAATATTCTACTGGGCTGCGCAGGTTCTGGGTGTCCGCCTAGGCGCTGAGCGGCCTAGACCTTCCAGACCGCTTAGGTGCCGCTTAGCGCTTTTTGAAACATTGATTCGTTGTTAAAATTTATAGAATTTTTGTGTTGTCAACATCTTATGCACTGAGATTTACCTCTTCTTCTT